ACTCGAACTCACGGGTATCCCACTCGATCCAGTTCGGTCAACGTGGGTAAAACTCGTGGTGACGGATTTTGGGCCGGGTTTGGGTTTAAACTCGTTCATTATTCAATGGGTTGGGTTTGGGTTTAGGTATACCAGCTCCATGGATACCCGCCCACACACATATAATTAATTTTCCTGGTATATTCAATAACTAATCTTCTTTACATTTGTGGAAACATGTCTAATTTTTTCTTTCTAATTGTGTAGAATGAAGATATTATCGAGTGGAGAGTGAAGAAGTTTAATTGACAAGGAGTAAGAAGCTTTCAATTGATTATGTTATTTATGGATAATTTGTGATTTGCTTCAATTTTCTTGAGTATTCTAGATTGGTGTTGAACAATTTGTATGGTTAATTTGTGATTTGCTTGAATTTTCTAGAATTATGTTTTATATATGGATACTTTGTATTGAGAGATTTATATTTGATTTATATTTTGATAAGAACTTGTTATTGTAAAATGTTTACGACAAAAGACCATGGGTACCCATGAACCCGCGAATACCCAGCGAGTTGGGTTGAATTTGAGTTTTCCAAATCCAATGAATTTTACCTCGGGTTTTTTCACGAATAAATCCATAGATTTGAGTTTGAATTGGACAAAACTCGATCTAACCGACACAATTACCATTCTTAGGTGGTTGGGAGATCAAAGAGCCGGAAATTAGGTTGGAAAGAAAGAAATTAAAGTGATGTAAGATGGTTTGTTGGGGTTTTTCGTACATTGCCGTGCCGCTCGAACTCTCGATCGTCCTCTTTCTCTCTCTCTCTAACTCAACTGTTTGATGATCACCTTTCAATATACGTACGTACCCTGTATTTTTGTACGTACACTTTACACATATCTACTACACGTCAACTAAGTAACCAACTCCATAATTACAAAGCCCCTTTTCTTTGCTTTGTTACGTACCAAATCGTGTGTTATTGTGTATCCTCCATCCGCCATCTTGCCTCTTTGATGGGGGGCAGCTTTCTACCCTCTTCTTCATCCTCATTTATTGGTTACTATGCTTATTTTCTGGATCCTGTGATAAAAAATTCTCTCTCCCCTAAGCAAATAATAATAATAATAATAATAATAATAATAATAATAATAATAATAATAATAATAAACTCGTCTCTAACTAGACAAATCTCACAAACATGGGAATTTGCGGTAATTTGAGTCAATCTCACATACGTGAAAATTGTAATTACGGCACCCATTCTCACATCTTCTTTTTTTCACGACAAATTCTATCCCTCTTCTTCCTCTTCCTTTTTCTCTTTCTTTATTTTCATAATTTTCCTCTTCCGTCTCTCACACAGGGATAAATTGGTATTGTAATAAAATTCCACATTTTAAAACTCATTTTACACATGAAATTTTGGCCAATTTCAACTTACAATTCTATAAAAAAAAAATAACCAAAGTTAAAGTAAATTCTCACATTTTTCAAATTTCCACACCCAAACAAACACTTATGGAACATCATGAATCTTACTATTATTAACCACGCACATTATAATTTACTATATTATGAATAGGGGTGGAAATCGGTACGGTATCGTATCCCAATACCAAATACCGAAATTCCGAATACCGAATTACACCCTAAAGTCAATCCCAATCCCAATCCCTAAATTATTTCGGTATCTCAATCTCAATCCCTAAATATTTCGGTATCCCAATCGGTACTTTGGTATCTCAATCGGTATTATCGAATACGAAATTAATTATCTTTGCAATTAATAATTAAATATATAAATTATATTTTATTGTTTAATTTAGGGGAAAAGACTAAGCAAAGAGTTTTGAATTAGGATATTATTGAGGAGAATAGAGGAGAGGACAGAGGAGACATCTCAAGTTCTTGTCATTGATAATCTTTAATTTGACGAATTGGAGGTTGAGAGACGACTATTAGTAGTGATTGAATGATCTATGTATAATTAAATGACACTTTTGGTGGTTGAGAGTCATGTAGAGAGTCTAGTTGAGAGGATAAAATTCAAACTAGCTTATATTTCGGTATTTCGGTATATCCTGATCCCAATCCTGTAATCCCTAATACCGAATAACAATTAAAATTCAATCTCAATTCAAATCTGAAGAAATAATATGTGTATTCGATAATACCAAATATAGACAAATTCTGTACGGTATTCGGTATATCCCAAATACCGCTACCAAACTTCCATCCCTAATTATGAATTCCAATTACCGATTTTGGATTTTGGAGCATGAGAATAAGTAATAAATGGGGGTTGAAACAGTAGCAATAAATAGTACTAGTACTAGAGTAGAGGAGGTAATAATTTTATGTGGTTACAATAAGAGGGTCGGGTGGGACCGGTGAGATCTAACATTTGACTAGAAAGAATTGTAAAGATTGATTGTGGGGTAAAACCGTAAAACTGATTCTGGGCTTTCCCTGTTATGATGCTACTGTTGGGGTTGGGGCTTCATGCTTGACCGCGCCGGATCCCATCAATTATTATTTGCCGTGGGATTTCTATATCGTACTCGTACTTGATTAACCGGTTGAACCGAAAATAGTGAAAATCGGACCTAATCTAGAACTGTACGTGTGTTGGAAAATCGATTGAGCCAGCCAGCATCGGCAAGAAGTCGAACAAGCGTAATGTGATAAATTGGTATGTATTGATTCAGCTGTCGGCATGCTATTTATAATATAAAAAATAAGCCCACATTAAAGGAAACGATGTGTTTCCAGTTAAAAGGAAACGAGAGAAAAAAGCATAGTGCAAATTATCAAAACCCTAATAGCCTTGTCTATCTTCGTTTTCGTCGTCTGTCGAGTTCGAGACGAGTAGCGGCCAATACCTCCAATGATACGCTCTTGCGGACAAACTTTTTTTACAATTCTAATCAATTGCTACATGTTTAAAAGTGACCCAAATGGACAGTAGAATAGAAACCCTTTTGTTGAGAACACAAGCAATCGATGCTGTGGAATCATTCCCGCACAAGTTGCAGAGGAAACTCTTAAGTATCGATAGGATTAAAGCTTTGATGATTTCGTAGATTTGTATTCTTGGAAATTAAGTGAATAAACACAGACAAATTCCACCAACCAATAATTAAATCAATGAATAATATACTAAAAATGCCGTCCTTGATTTTTGGTTAATCAGTAGAAACCAAGTGGGAAAATCAAAGAGCCGGAACTAGTAGTAATCAACAAAATTATTCTAATTACGTCTGGGTTTGGACCACTAATTAAATTAATTTCGTTAACTACGGAATCTACTTTCTGTCTCTCTCTCCCTCTCGAATCACTGATCCGTGTAAAAAGACTGGAAATTTAAGATTCGTGTACAGGAAAAAAAGGAGTGCAAAATGGGGAGAAAGAGATAAACTGAAGTGGGAATTTAAAACAAACAAAACAAGAGTAACTGAAGCAAGCCCTGTGGTGTGTTACTGTTCCTGCTGATTCACAGCTTTGACCTCTCCTCTGTTTCCAGTTTCCTTTGGATTCTTTTCTAATCTTCTTGTTTTTTCTCTCATCTCTCTCTCTCTCTCTCTCCCACCATTTGAAATCCACAACAACCAAGACCGTGGAGATATGGGATAAATTTGAGAAGTAAATTTTTATGCATGAGGTATATATCATCTCTTTTGTCTTGTTGGTTGAGAAGTTTTATGTTTGGATTTTGAGATCCCTAATAATATGATTTTTTCAAAAATATCATTGTTTAAAATTTCTTTTTTACAAAAATAACACTCAGTCCTGAAAAATTCTAAAAATAGCATCGTTTCTCGAAAACCATCACCCAGCGGTTTTCGATGAAAACCGCATGGTTACGGGATGGTTTTGAAAACAGCTCGGGGTGGGGGCGGTTTGGTCCAAAACCGCTGCCCAACCCTACGGTTTGGTCCATGAATTTTTTTTTCTGAAAAAATCCTAACTTAGGTGGAAACTTCAATCGAACGTATCTTTGTGTTCGGGTATCCGATCGTCGCGATTTTTTTTTATTCCACATAACTTTTCGAGATCTTGTCAGCCGCAAACCGCCGAATCCCGCCTTCGTCCCAAAATAAATATCGTTTGCTACCGCCGGGTGGGGTGGCGGTTTGCACCCAAACCGCTCCAACCCATTGCGGCCGGCAAAACCGCCTCCCCACCTTGCGATTTTCGTGAAAGCGTGCTATTTTTTGAATTTTTCGAGATTGGATGCTATTTTTTAGAGAAAAAAAAATTCAACAATGCTATTTCTGAAAAAAGTCCTAATAATATACATTGGTACATTATTAATTTATGCACTCACGCGACAAACTTTAAGTATGACTCCCAATCTTAATGTGATCTAGAATGAAAATAGGCATACTAGTTCAGCCAATAATTTGTTTGAAATTAAGTAGGCTCCCACTAAATCCCTAATTGAGTGGGGTGAAAAGAAACTAACATAATGGCCCATGCTTCCCGATACAAAAATTGAAAGTAGATGAAGAAAAATAGGCCAAAATTAGCACCTGGAATTCAACGACCAAAAACAATTAGCTCCTGGATTTTGTTGCACTCCATGCAGTTTTATTTTCCTCTTCCAAAACCGTATGATACCCGCCTTGCGTATCATTCACTCCCTTGCAAGTCACAACTGCACAATTCATTTTATTTATGATGTATATATAAGCTATTTTATTTTAATACTCAAACGTAACAGAAAATAGTAACAAATAGAGAAATTAATCCCACTCTCAAAACACCTTATTTTTTTTCAATTGAAAAAAAATCCGTTACAACAACAAACAAGAAAAGAAAGAAAGAAACGGTAAACACGCCACACCTGAGTCAATCGCGTTTATGCTGGTTTTGTTGGTTTCAGGGCTAAAACATTTTAACCCTTTCAATAACAGAAGTTAGTTACCCCTTTTTACTATCAACGACTTTAACCGCTTGTTTCCCCTTCATCATTTTCTTTTTATATATAAATACTGGAATATTACGGGAGTCAAGACACAAGAGGCTTCATGTTCAACCATGCCAACTTCGACATTTTTGAATACCATCTCAAGCCACAGTTAATCTCAATATCTTCATCTTTTTCTCTTTGTGGTTTGTAAAAAACCAATCCGGAAAATTTTCGTAATTAAACTGAAAGAGTTAATTAGGGTTTTCAAAAACGGATGCCTCGTAATTATTAATATTAATATTTGAAATCATAAACAAATGCACGATGAAAGACGAAGAAGCGGATCTGGGTCAACCGCCTTTGACCATCGAAACGACAGTACAGAAGGCTGGAAGCGTAATTTAGCAGCACTGCCGGACGGCCCCACCTCACTCTTACACAGATAGGTAACTTATTGTAATTTTATTATCATTTTTCATTTATTTTTATTTATTTTCCTGGGTTTTCGTGTTTGTTTAATGGGAGAACTGCTCTCTTTCTCTCTCTCTCACTATATTTCTTATGCTTTTTGGCTTTTGCTCTGTTTTATATAAAGCCCGCACTCGGCCTTTTATTCTTTCGTCTTCCCTCTCGCCTAAGGGGAAAATCAAAGGATTTCTGGGGAAAAAGACAACGCTGAAACGGTTCGCCGGAGCGCTGCCGGAGGAACAAAAGAAAAGGAAAGAAGGCGGGGAGCTTCCGTGATTTCAGTCTGTTGGAAGAATGAGGACGAGAAGAGGCGTTTGTTACCCGAGGATGGAGGTTTGTGGTGTGGAGAAGAGAGTTGTCAAAAGAGCGAAACGCGATTTCTCCGCCACCGCCGATGAGAGTCTTGCCGGAAAGAGGCAGAGACTATCGCCGGAATCCGAATACGGAAACCACGGCGGCGATATGTTCGACGGCTTGCCCGACGATCTTGTCCTCTCAATCCTTGCCAAGCTTAGCTCATCCGCTTCATCGCCATCGGATTTCATCAACGTCTTGATAACGTATATCCTCTCTTCTCTGGCTCCGGCCCTTTTCTCCTTTTTTGGTTCTCCGCCGCTAGAGATTCGTTTTCTCATGATTTTTTTTTTCCTGGATTTGTTTTTTTCCCCCCTCAGATGCAAGAGATTCAACGGTTTAGCCCTCAATCCGCAAGTACTGGCGAAGGCTTCACAGAAGACTTTCGCGATTAAGGCGAAGAACTGGTCGGATTCCGGTCACCGTTTTTTAAAGCTTTGTGCCGACGCCGGGAATGTTGAAGCTTGTTATACTCTTGGAATGGTAAGCGAAACTGATTTTTTTTTCTTTTTCTTTTTAATATTTGAAAATAAATTCATATTTATTCTTCTCGAGATTTCGATGGACTCTTTCCTTTCCTCTTAACAATTTTCCTTTTTGGCGCAACAGATTCGGTTTTACTGTCTGCAAAATCGAGGCAACGGCGCGTCGCTGATGGCCAAGGCGGCAATCAGTTCTCACGCGCCGTCACTATACTCGCTTGCTGTCATCCAGTTCAACGGCAGTGGCGGGTCGAAGAGCGACAAGGACCTGCGAGCCGGAGTAGCTCTCTGCGCACGCGCCGCCTTCCTCGGCCACATCGACGCCTTGCGGGAGCTCGGCCACTGCCTGCAGGACGGCTACGGCGTCCGCCAGAACATCGCCGAGGGACGGCGGTTCTTGGTCCAGGCGAACGCCAGGGAGCTAGCGGCGGTGCTTTCCGACCCGAACAACGGGCTCGCCACGCGCGCATGGCTCACGTGGAACTCCCACGCGCATCCCAACAACCCCAGCCGCGGCAGCGCCACCGCCGCCGCCGCCGCTGCCGGCGGCCCCGGGTGTCCGCTTCTGAGTGACTTCGGCTGTAACGTCCCGGCGCCGGAGGTTCACCCGGCCAGTAGGTTCATGGCGGAGTGGTTCGCTGCCAGAGGCGGGGCGCCGGGGGCAGGTCTGAGGCTTTGTTCGCACTTCGGATGCGGGCGGCCGGAGACGCGTAAGCACGAGTTCCGGCGGTGCTCCGTTTGCGGGACGGTGAATTACTGCTCCAGAGCTTGCCAGGCTTTGGATTGGAAGCTGAGGCACAAGGCGGAGTGTGCTCCAGCGGAACGGTGGGTGGAGGAGGACGGTGAGGGGATGGACGTCGACGGCGGTGCCGACGGTAACGGTGACGGAATGGGGGATAGCTAGGAGCGTTCAGCGGGAGAGAGGTTAACAAAAAGTGACGGCAGGTGGAGTGTTTTTTTGTGTGGCCTTGTCGGGAAACGGAAAGGTAGTAAGTAAACGGCGTCAGGAAACGGCGGTGTAGTGGGAGATACGATGAGGCCATTCCTTGGTTGGAAAATATTAAGGAAAGTAAAAAAAAAAAATAGAAAAAGAGGGAAAGTTAGAAAGACAAGAAAGTCCTTTGTAATTGTCGTAGAAGGGCAGAGGAAGTTGTTTGTTCCTCTCGTTTGTATAGAGGGGTAAATCGGAGAAAACGAGGGGAATTCTTTTTCCAAGTTCTCATCTCGCTCTCTTTTTTTGCGGTAATTTCTTCTCTTCTATTCCCTCGCGTCATATTTTCACCCGTCCTCTTTTTCATGGTTCGTGAAACCATATCTCGGTGGAAAACTATAAAAATCCGTACAGAAAGTTAAACTTGTAGTTTAGCCGTATTAATGGTTAAGCTACGGTTAAATCATGGATTCATCATAAAATATTCAATTGCTGAATTTTTCGATATAATCTTCGGTACAATCTCACAAACATTGCTTGTTTCTCACCTTTTGGTGTACCATGGAGTCAACACTCAACCCTAGGTCTATGAACTCTTTAGATCAAAATGGAGTAGAAGAAAATTGCCAACATTTAGAAAAAAATATATAGTACAAAAAAAAAAACTTCAATTTTTTACATTTTCATTTTTCAATTCTCTCATGTAGTGTGGTAATATGAACGAAGATAGAATAAGCTTGGACCTTATTCCAAACCTTAATGACTTAGTACATAGAAGTCATAATTTCCGAGTATATGTTCTATTTGAAACAAATTAGGGTTATTGTACCAATCGAATGCTAAAATTTTAGTTGTATTCATGGTCTTAGATATTTTTATCACCTATGTTGAGAAAATGAATCTGATTCGAGTTCACGAACTCGAATAATCTTAGGGGTTAAAACAAATGGGGATCGATGTGGGTGATTAGGGGGAGAGTAATTGGAGGATGTTGGTTTGGGCAAAAGTAGGTGTGGGGGGAATGGGATGAACAACCAAACTCCCCAACACACACCCCTCACATGCAGAAAAGAAGAAAAAACCCTGCAAAGTTAATATTATTGGTTAGTTTGAAGCTAAATTGGCTTAGCTTTGGGGTAAAGATTGGAAAACAAGAAACAAAGCCCTACACCAATTATATAGTTTGATGTTCAAGAAAAGTCAAATCCAAAGGAGAAAAAGAGTAATCCTTGGAGAACATGGATTTATGGATGGGCAGTCCTTTTGGCTTTTTATTTGGAGGACTGGCCACTGGCTAGGCCAAAACCCAACAAATAGCACACCACCAAAAAAAAAATTGTATAAAAGAAAGAAAAAGTGGTAGTAATAAAGTAATAGGAATGATTTTGTTTGATTATTGTTGTTGGGTTTTTTTCCTACACTGTTATTTGGTCAGATAAAGAGAGCAAATTTTGTTTTAAAGAAAGGAATTATTATGTGGAGAAGTGATTCTCCTCATTCACAAACAAACCCATCAATGGATTGACCAAGAACAGTAAAAGAAGAGGAAATGGGGAAGGAAGAAAGTGGTGGGGGAGAGAAAGAAAAAGAAATTTGTGAGGAAGAGAAGAAAATGGGGGCAAGGCAAGTGGTGGTGTGATGGGGAGAAGAAGTTCTTGTGCTAAGGTGGTGGAAGAAGTGGTTTGTGTCTTGAGCTTTTGAAAATGTAACTTAATATTTTTTTTTCTTGAATTATTGGTAGTCAACTAATCATCAATGAAGCAAATCAAGGAAATAAAATTATTTTGACAACCACATTTTCAGAAGGATTTGATCGGTTTAATCTTGAAAAGAGATGACGATATTCTGAGTTTTTGTAACCAAATTATTTTATGTGTCTGATAGTCTTCTTGCTAATTCAAATTTATATTTAAGTTAACGATAGAAAGAATTGGCAAGGTGATTCAATTAAGAAGGAAAATTGTATAATTTTTTTTTGGGGTGAAAAATGTATACTATCATTTTGTAGTAAATAAAGTGAAACCCCAAAGAATTGGCAAGGTGATTCAATTAATGTAAAGTGAAACCCCAAAGAATGAGGAAGGTGAAATGGATTTGTAAACGAGGAAACCGTAACTATCATTTTGTAGTAAATAAATTGGTGCCCATGATTCGATGGACAAATGTGCCAAAAAAAGAAAAGAAGCAAAGGAAACGAGAGAGCATCTAATAAGGGCGAGATATTCATGTCATATATTATTCTCTTTCACTTTCTATATTTCCCTCTTCTAGATTACTTTCCCTTCTAAAATCTCAAACTACAGTACGTATTTCGTGTTGGTTTCTGAATTGGGTTCGCCTTTTAATTTACATAGAGGCATAGAGCATATTTTTTTTTGATAGCAAAAGACACGTACTGGGATTCGAACCATGACCATTTTAAAGAAAAGCAAAGATCACAACCAATCACACTAAGTACATTTGTTGAGGCATAGAGCATATTGTTTGGTCAATAAAATAATTTTACTTGTCATTTGTTTTACATACTTTTGTTCGTTTTCATATCATTATTGACTTTCATATGATATTATTGAGATTGAAAATTTAAAATGACGTGATAACATTATAAGAGAATTACAATAAAATAAAACCGTTTATCAAAATATAGCACACTAATATAACGGGGCAATACGATACGATGATGATGATCTTTTAACGACACGAGCAATATGTCTAACCGATTTTGTGAAACTGATTGTATAGTTTCTGTTTTTAGTTTGTACATCATACCATCGTCGACTTCCATTCGTGCATGAACCGTATATTTATTGACATAATAATACCCGGGCGGTGTCGAAAGATTAGATGGTTGGGGCTTGTGAAGGTTGGTGGTCCAGGCCCAGCCCATTTAATGAGATTAGTTGGGGAGGGTTTCTGCTCAGTCCAGCTGTGGCTGAAAAGGAATACAGCCACTTTATGGAGGCAGGCAGAGACTTTCCAAACCCAAATATGCACACCACGCCCATTTCCTTTTCCTCTTGCTTTAGGGCAGAATATATCATCCTTGGTTATTCATTTGTGTCTAACTAGATTTAGCTTCTTGATTTAGAACTAGGTTGAAAGAATGAGATAAAAAAATATATTATATTTTACAGTATTTTTTTAATTGTCTTGTATCGGTTTTTTTTTTAACTCGAATTGTAATTTTTTTTGTTCACACAAGGAATGAGTTTATTGTGACCTACAAACAGAGTTGCACTTGTGAAATTACTTGGAAGATATTAGGAGTTGATCAATGGTCATGGCTCACCCGGTATCCAATGAATGGGTTTGGACATCCGTCTGGTAAGGAAGAAAGAAGTTAACTGACGAAATTTATCTATTTGCGTAAGTGATCTAAGAGTCAGTGCGCAGATGATATACATTTCTGACATATTTTGAGATTTTTTTTCGTCCATCTATTACCACTCAATACCATTATAATAACACGTGGTGCCATTTTGTATCACCTTCGCACTTAACTCAAATTTTGTAATGTATTGTTGAGAAGGAACTGATTCATAGTGATCTATTCTACAAATTTATGGATAAAAAGTGTGAGGAACACATATATAACCTTTTACCACTCTGGTATAGCCGTATAGGGGTGATACCTGAAGGTAGATAATGGTGAAAGGTAATTAGTATATTCCTATTATCATGCACACAATTATTCTAAATTATGATATATTCATACCACCATGATAGAATCTTGTGCGGTTACTAAACATTATCAGCATACCATGATGTACACTGATAATATATAACCTAAAATAATATATAACCTCAAAGCTATATATTAAAAGAGTCCATAATAAAACATAGGCAAAATACACTTGTATAGCCATAACTTTCACGTTTATACCAATAATAGCCACTTTTGAAGAAATACACAAAATAGCCATTTCCGTCTAATTCTTTAACGGTGTCATCTAACAGACTGACTGGATTAACGGAATAGCTGACCTTTAACGGAAGACCTTTTTCATCAATATGAGTACCTATTATAATCTCCACTTTAATAAACCATGTGTATATATAGTCTCTTGATAATAATCATTGTGTCATTGCAAAGATATTTACTTTGATCCATATTTCTCAATAAAATTTCAGGGCATCCAACTCCCTTCTTCAATTGAATATGATATCATTCACTCAATACTTTCTAAATTTCCCTCCTAAAAGATTGCACGTTAGACACTTGATAGTGGATAAGAATTGCGGCAAACAAATTCCTTACTTTATATCCAGAACCCTGAAAGGAAACTTCTTCCAAGATGTCACTCCACTCATCATCCGGCAATAACCCAAGAACATTACATGGTTATTGAAATGAATCATAAACTACACCATTAACTGTTCTAATTTCTTCATAAGAATGACAACTTTTGACTACATGCGAAGATAAATTCTTTCTTTGTCTGATGGAGGACACTTATATAATCTTCCAATACACACTTTGTTCTTCCTCATTAACCACCTTCTCAATTATTGGTCCAAATGAAACATTGAGAGAACTCCACAAAGTATATTTGACACATGACATACACAACACTTAAGATGAACTACATCTAACATCAGACTTAACAAATTCTTCAGCATGCTTCACCTGATGTTATGTAGCGACAATCTAGAAATGCTTTAATCTCATCAATATAAACAAAAGTTATGAAAGAATTTCCTTGGTTTTGGGGTTGTTTTCCATTACCACCTATTAAGATTTCAGAGTCGCCATTGCTTTGTCTTCATAATTGTCAATATATATAAACAAATACTTGATAGCCCTTAAATAAAATAGTAAATTAATCGTATAACTCGAAATGTTCAATTAACGTAATAATAAAGTAAAAAAAAATCTATTGAAATATGAAAGCGTTATATATTGGCTATTTAAATTTGATTTCACCGTATTTCGATCTATATTTCCAAAAGGTAAGTTTATGGAATTTTGGTGAACATTTTATTCTCTTGGCGTAGTGAGTTACATGTCTAAATTAATAATATGTAGAAAAATCATAATGAATAAGCACACAAGCCTTACACGCTCTGCAAAAATTTCAGAAAACCATTTTCCCTAACTAAACTATAACAATACAGTAGCAAAAATATTGATAATAAAATGCTCCTAATCCTAGCCATGATAATATGGTTAATCATATAGCAGCTTGATATCCTATGAGAATATAGTAAATACTTTGTTACAATGATAATATGAAGAACAACTAATGAAAAATAGTTCCGGAGAAAAAACAAACTGACACGAGAAGACCCCATTATAATTTGCTTTGAAGTATTTACTTATGGGCATATTCAAAACCTATGGAGAGCTACTTTCGAAGAGGAAGGTTCACTTCGCCATATTTGTAACACAATGAAAATTTTGGTTGGCGTTAAAAAGTATATGCACCTTTGATTAACTAACCACCCTTAATCTTGAAAAGTTAATTAGCTACCTATCATATTCTTATTTTCATACCAAAATATATAGTCATCATGATAAATCTATTTAACATTCAACAATTTTTAAATGCCCTTAATTGACTAACCATCCTATTCAATATTCATATGCATATTTCTCTTTTTTTCCCTCCCTACGTGTAACATAGCTTTAGTTGATTCATGCGTGTAACATAGCCACACCCACAGGCCTAAAATTTATAAT